AGGCCAGAGGTTTTAATCCTCTTGATAATTTTAAACGTATTGTAGTGTTCACAGTTCTCTGTACTACATACGGCTTCCTGTTAATATAAGGCCAATCTTCCACGTTTATTATTCCAAAGTTAAAGTTAGAGTTTAGTTATATTTTTATATTCTTACGTTAGACCACAAGTAGTTGGTCTTTGTATTCCGAAGTACGGAAATTATTGTAAAGAGTGAAAAATAAAGGGTTTTGTATACCCTTCCTGTGTATCTTGTCTACTTCCCACAGTTATTGAACATAGCTTTAGTAAGCTCCCTGTTCCGAGTCAGGTCCTTATATGTTCCCAAAGAAAGTAAAGACGGAATATTGAATCTGATAATATATCTATTGCGGAAATACCAAGTCACTTTTAATGTCATTAAATCATGTGAAATTACATAAATTCCCAGAAGGCAAAATGTTTCCTACACCTGAAAAAGATAAAAAAAGATTAAGGGAAAGAAACTACGTATCAACTTAAAAGTCATAGAATTTAAGTAGAGTGTAGTTACAAATTAACAGAAGGGAATGTATATTTTACTACAATTTAATCAGCGGTAAAAGTTTACTTGACACTGAATGTTTAAACTTCATACACAATTTGTATATGCACCCTGTGATACCTTACATCACAGATGACAGTGTTTGACTTCAATCTTTTAAAAACAAAGGACTGGGTGATTGAATATGCAAAAGCATTGAGTTTGTCAAAGTAACTCATTTACTCGAAGTTTTGAAATAGAAGACGATAAGAAGCCCAGAACGGAATGAATGCAGTTGTTAATCATTTTCAACAGTACATGTCAGCCTTAGCTTCAGGAATTTTAGGATAGAAGCAGGTACTGTTGAGATCAGTCATATTTTGGACTCATATCAGTGGTTTACGATGAAGTTCTGTGCAAGACCATAAACAATGAACTTCATTCAGCCGTCTACAAACAAGTAAAATCATTGTCAGTATACAAAAAGAGATAGATGCAGACACAAAGCAAGACAGATACACAGATTCGTCACAAAATTCCGTCAGTGTTTTCCACAGCAACTGTTCGTGGAGCACCAAGAGAAGTGAGTCGTCATCACTATTAACCCGTTTATGCCTAGTGGCTAAAATATGGGACGCTTGGAAATTACTGTGTAGGAAATCTTGTAGTGCATATACGTATCTTTTAACCAAAGCAATTTTTCATGCGCCTGAGGATTGTTCTTACTGTTAGCAAACGATGGAACCACTAGATGAACATTAAAATTATTTTAGAACAAGTTATTTTTATAGGAAACATTCGAGCATCGACAAATGATGGGTAGACACAGGAAATAAGATTTTTTTGCAAACATTTTTATTCATAAAACTAAAAAAACATTAAAACGATTTCCTTAAAATGGATCACAAAAAACTTCTTCAAAGTTATTTTGCAAAAATAACAATATCATTTTTGTGTAATTACGTTAATCTTTGGCGTCCTGTTTATGGGACACTGGGCATTTGTGCGTGCATTAAGCCTAAAAGATTTTACTCTCTTATCAATAACCTACAAGCAGTTTTATTCGAAATATGCATGTTTTATGCGATAGAACTTGAAAATCTACTCTCTTATTACTATTATTGTATACAAAATATTTAAATTCAACAATATTCGCTAAAATATATTTGTGTGTACAGAAAATATATTCGTAAAACTGTGAAAAAATGAATTTTTAATTTTTCTTGAAATGCATTTTTCAGATTACGCATATTATTGAAACAAAAATATGATTTATATTATTTTGTGCATACAAAACAAATTCTAATTGCTATTTATTGGTAAACCTCGATCAATTATTTCAGATACTTAACATTAAATAAAGCATATATCTATCTAGGATAGCAGTAGACAATTACTTTACTTCCACAAAGTTCAATGAGGAGTTGTTATGTTCTGGATTGCGGTTGTAAGTACACCCAGAGAAACACGTTTGGAAACTATCCGGTTGAAACCGTTAAAAATCCGAGAGAAAAAAGAAAGGGGTGCTATCGATTACAGGAAAGAATGCCATCTGGTGGTGTAATAATTGTACGTTCGAAAGACAAGAGTGTTTTTAGAAGAGTTTCAAACTGTACCAAAGTAAATCCATTAAATTCAATCAAACGCTGGTCAGCTTCTGAGAAACAGGAAGATGGTAATTATTACATACAGCCGGTTTATGGGAGGTACCGATCGAATGGATGATAATACTTCAAATTATCGTATTGGATTCCGTGGAAAGAAATGGTGGTTTCCACTTGCCATGCTTTTTGATTGCTATGATGATTGCTTTTAATACCATGTTTAATTCCGTGTTTTTAATGATGTTAAAGTTTCGAATACAGGTGTATTCAATTCAAAATTCATGTCTCATTCATCGCATGTTTCGCAAGAAACAGGTCACAACGGATCAACTGGAATTTTGCGGCAGCATTTCACAGAATTAACAGTTTGCAGTGCTTCCCAAACCTGGAAGAACAACCGCTTCAACAAAGATGAGTAAACAGGATGAGTTCTCAATGCCAAATAAGTCCACAGGAAAATGTCAAAAATAGAACGTTGGATTGTATGATAAACGCGTTCAACAATTTCATGAAAAATAATTGTTTTTAATTTATTATTTTTACATTTCCATTGTTTATATTATGTAAAATGATAAAATCTTTTTTAAATTTATTTATATTAACCTTTACTTATTATTAATGATTTTCAACACTGAAAGTTCCAAATACGAGTACAGGTGTATTTTGCTTACACGTATGCCCAGTGTCCCATAAACAGGACACTAATTAACTCAGCAAATATGACAATCGTGATCACTTTGACCCCTAAAGTGTATTTATAGCTTTCGTATTAAGCGGTATAAATTCTTTAATAATGAATAAACTTGCCAAAAAACTTGGGCATAAACGGGTTAAGAAATTGATCCGTTTTCGAATGTATTGATGGACACATCGCTATTTCATGCATCGAAAGAATATGTCGTGAGTTGCAGAACTGTGATGTCACTATAAAGTGAGAGCTGCATTTAAAAAAGATTTAAGTTCATGCAAGATAAATTACTTAAATGTTATAAAATGATAATTGCAAAACTACTAATAGTTGGACAAATATAGATGTGCTGGTATTTAAGCAGGCACCTCTCATAAACGAAAATATCCCAAATTTATCAGACTCGTCACAATGATTAAACTGTCAAAATAGCATACAACAATTAAAATGGTGATCGCTAAGTCAATGGATGAAGAGATTTCTAAACGCCTAGTTTGATAGCGGTAGGTCTAATTCAAGTAGGCTTGGAAATCTAAATTTTACACTTTATAAAAAGAACCGTTCCTGATATATGTATTTACTTTTTTTAGCTTTTACCTCTATTAACCACCGTAAGAAAATGACTCAGCTATCATTCCTGATAGGTATTATAAGAGTAGCAATTGTCATATTTAATAATTTCGCAGATTTGGACTGCAACTAAATAAGAACAATAAGATAAATGTGATTAATAAAATAAATAATCGAAACATACTATGATAACATGAATGCTTTGAAACTTTAAAGCCAACCAAATTTTTTTATAAACAATATCATATCTCCAGAGCAAAAATAAAATTATTACTAAATATCTAGAAATTATATAACATATATTAAAAATATAAAAACGGCAAATATTTTCAACGCTTTAATAAAACATGAAATGGATAAATTTTTCAATTCATACAATTTCAGAGTTGTATCGTAATGAGAGAAATACTTAAAACGAAAATTAATTGAACGCAATGGATGTATGTGAGCATTGTTAACAAAAGAAGAACAAATGGTACAGTCATTAACAATAAAAACCCACATTTCTAATTAAATAGAGGAAAAGAATCATTTTAACTACATATCACACATCAGTCTACTACTACAAATTAAGTTGAAAACAGCTACCGTGGAAAATACACGGTTAAACACTGCGACAAAAGCCAAAGCTTACAGAACACTCACATTCGGCACGCACACATGCTATAAAAGAAAATACATGCACAAATATTGACACAGTTTGGTTTCGAAATCAAGATTAATATCAGTTTGAGTTACCAAAACCAACAAATTTAAGCTTTTGTTCGGTGTTCTCTGAGAAGCATGCGATCTTGACACGTTTGCGGCAGTTGACTGCATAAATCACAGCAAAAGTACAGCCACATGAATGGCAATCGAACTTCGAGCACTAAATAGCAAATTACTCGAGCATTTTGACATCGGAAAACTGCATTCGATTAAGTGCTTTTGTTCTGTAGGACGAATCTTTTTGTTACACGAGAAGTGCTTTGGTCCCATGGACATTACCGTAAACAACGCATTATTCGGCATTTAGTTGAAGCACATGGAAAATCTCATTACTTACACACGCGAGCCTTACATTTGCTTTTATCACTGAGGGAAGAGATAGTTCAAGAGCGAAATGGCGTGTTTGTTTTAAACAAACTTTAGGACTCATTGTTGTCATTAAAAGACGAAAAATATTACTTTTGGTTACATTAGAAAAGTTAAGTAGTGTGACATTTTATCTTTTAAAAGTAATGTTTCCCGCGTTTCATTTAATGTGCTAAAGAGTTTGCCTTCAGAATGCTTACACTGTCATTTAATTTTTGGAATACTTCAAGGTATTTGATTCCGTGATAAAATAATAGGATTGCCATCCGGACGTTCAGATGTTCAATGAACACTGTTGATGGTCTTGGACTGAAATCCGTGACATTTTTTGTCGCGTTTCTATGAAAGAGGTATCCATCGGCTCTAATGGTTCTAATGTTTCTTTTTCAATTGCATGGCTAGTAGAGGAAGAGAGTGCCGAGTCATCGAATTTCGTTCTCATTCGCAGTTTTAATGAAAATTAGGTAGAAGTTAACCAGAAAACTAAATCTTACTTTTATTCGTGCTGCTAAAGCTCGGTGATCAAAGGCAGGTCTACTGTTCCGCTTGGCAGTTCTTGAAGACATCCGTGGGCTCAAGAAGATAAGACGTTTCTGACACTCAAGAAGATAAATAATAGGAGCATAATAAATTTAGTTAGTTTTATGAGGCAGTTATGTTAGCAGTCTTCATATATAACGGTGTTTAGGACACGATGGTGCCTGGGCATCTTAAAATATTCACCAATAGAACAAGTTACAAATTTCAAATTAGTATCAAAGATAACTTAAAAGAGATTTAAAGATTATTAAGGGAAAATAGAAGGATTAAACAACATGCATAAAATTTTGAATTCAGTTAAAAATAACAAATCACGGAAAGTTGAAAATCCGTCGAGACTGATGCGAATAAGGCGAAAATACTCCGCTAACAGGCTATTCAATAACGATTAAAATATCCACATTCAGTATCAAAAGAAGAGCTATTTACACTATTTGCAAATTTTGAGTTGAATTTTCGTAGTGGCCTTCCTGAAAATCCTTCTGATATGTTTTAATACTTAAAAGAAATTTGTAATTTTTTTTTGTAAAACTTTATTATTTATTCATAAACATTTACTTAAAAAGTGCATTGGCTTGATTTTAGCTCAAAGTATATTATTGAGAAAATTTTAATGTTCTTTCCAGGAAACAGCCTTATAAAGCCACCTGCGTTTCTCATATACAAGTTCTTTCTCATTATAAAATATGCCCCACTACTCAACCAGCTAGTAAGCGATTAGATCAATGCTGATCGATACTGAATACTTATTGGTAGTCCGACACTGATTTGAATTCTAATGATTTGGCTGGTCTTCTTGCATGTTTTAAGATTTAAAAGAAATAGTAGTGTCTCCGCGAAATTTCCCTTTAATTATACGAAGCTTTCTTATCCCTTACGCACATAGCCCTAGTATGTTTGGCGTAATTAAATAACGCAATGTAATCCCTTACAAAATATCTTTAAAATAATGCTTCCTCCTACACATGAAACATACTTACGTACTTACGTATGAAAATATTTTTTAAAAATTATTCGGTCAAGTGTTATCTTCTAGAAAATACACTCTGCATCAATAACTTTATTTATTGGCGTATTTTCCCTACTTTTACCTTTTTCAAAGGGAATATCACGCAGTCTATACTATTTCTCAAGGAACGGGTTAAAGGTAGAACTTATTAAGATGAAAAGTACATGTGAATAAATACAGTTATACTACTGAATTCAATATTTCAAACATATGAGCTAAAATTATAATTTAAAATACTCTCATTTCTACCTTAACAATGTATTTTGCTGTCTACCTACACTTTGTTAATGCTTGTATCTTGTATTACACGTCAGAATTTAATGCACTATAAATACGCTGAAAACATAAATGGAAAAATACGCGCAAGTCGAAGAAACGTGCGTGTAAATACCGTATAATTTTTGTTTTCTCTATCCTTTTCTTGTCGTAAGGAAGATAAAGATTTAAGATATTCCGGGCAGTATGCCAAAGATGCTTGCATGTAATGATGCTGTAGTCAATTGTTATGCACTAGTTATAATTTTCTCGAAAAGGAAACCGCGACACGCTTATCTTTCAATTACTACGTTGTTTTTTTATCTGATCTATATTTCTTGGTCTTTTCTGAGAATACTACTGTTACTACCCAACAAGGAAATTTCAGAAAATGAAAATAATGCCAGAAATGCATCAAAAATGAAGTATAGTTCTTTTTCGCATTAATATTTAAGAAACAAAAATTCTACTCTTAAAAATTTGAGAATTTTCTTAGCACCAACATATACGGCAGATTTGTGCACGAAATAAAGATCGAAACCACTTAATAAACTTCTAAAAGAAATTGATTATTATCCATAAGCATTTTTCAAGTTCATACATTTAATAATTAGAGAATTTTGTTCCTTCTTTCTGTTTACCATATTGCCATAGCTTAGTTTAAATTAGGCTTAGTCACTTAAATCTGCCTTATAAAGCCACACTGAAAGAGTATGAGGTGAAGAGACTGTCTTAAAATATTTCAGGCATTTCTGTACTTATTCTAGATTTACACTTTTAGCATTCCATTTCTACTCTTTTTTTTATTTATTTCCAAAAATAAAATACAAATTCCAATTATTTCAGTGTTTTCAATTTTGTCATAGAATATATTGCAATAGAAGGATCTAACAAAAGAAGTTCTTTTCTGTTTTCTTTCTAATTTCCTTTGAATCCCAATCTTTTCTAAAAGTAAAGGAATAAATAGTACGGCTCAAAGGACGCTTTGTTAAAACATTCTACACGGATGGCAGTGAATTGAACTTATTTCTTTCTACATGCGTTTACCACTTGTTTTACACTTTGCTAATATTGTTAAGTTATTGGATACTATAAACTATTAAAACGAACTAAGAATTAAAATTGTCTCCTTTTGTCGTAATATTACACATAAATCATCGCATTTTCTTTCCATTTTCTAATCATCCCATTTTCTAATCATAGCAATTCCATTTGCTTCCATTTTGAAAATATCTTTTTCTCTTTGAGCTAATTTCATTCAGTATTGTCAACAGTTATATTTATCATAGTTTTCGATACAATTTATCGCATACCTAAACACTTTTGTGAAAATGTTAGCATAAAATAATGCTCTAAGAATATCTTTCATCAAAGATGAGTCGCAAAATGTTTCTATGTATCAGTATGAAATTACGAAACTTTTATGTTTATATAAACAGAATGCAACTATTTAATATTTCCCAGGACGTTTTTAGCCGTTTTAGGACGTTTTAGGAGCGGTAGCCGAGAAGGGCTATTAATTTCGAAATCGGATTTTGCGTTGAATCACTTATGAGGTATTTCACCCGTCTTCTTAGCGTGACTTCGTGGTGTAGTGGCCTGCACGCTGGGCGCGTTTCAGAGGTCCTCGGTTCGATTCCCGGCGAAGGCGTTTCTCATTTATCATGACTCCTGCTTCAAGAAAAACCTAATGTCTCAATAGTGGGGCCCAAACTAAAAGGTTGGTAGATGATGATTCTCCACACTCAGGATTTGGCGATTGGGTCCCCTAAAAGCACCAGTCGCCCATAAAAATTGTGAGTATATGAGGTATTTCTCCCGCCTTCTTAGCGTTGCTTCGTGGTGTAGTGGTCTGCAGCTGGGCAAGTTCGAGAGGTCTGCGGTTCGATTCCCGGCGAAGGGAATCTTGCTTTCATCTTGCTTGCTTCCAAAACTACCTAACGTCTCTACACACTATAAGAGCCTGAATTGCTTTTTAAATTTTTGCCACCAGATATTATCGCCCGGTATTAAACTTAAAGAAATTAAATAATGAAGAACCTGCATGAATGCATGTATGTTTCTCGTATCGAGAAAACACAACGCTACCTAGAGCCATCAAATTCTGAATAACGTAGTCCTCCATCCAAACATGGGCACCTGGAAACCCTAATTTTGAATTTTAAATTTGCTTTATTATCTATTTCATATTTTGTAAAATTTTAAGGAATTTTAGATTAACAAATTCAACGATTTTAAAGCTATCAATGGTAAAACTGCATGAAAAAAAAACTTTTTTACCTCCAGCGTGAGCGACTGTCTACCTGAAATTCTAAAGATATGCTGTGTTTAAATAGTTTGTGATACTGCTCTTGAGTTAAATTTTATCGGGCATAAGTGCGAATAAGGTGATATTTAACAAATAAGGTAACACACAAAACGTTAAAAAACGCACCTTTGGACGTAATATAAAATCTGAAAGCTTGCAGATTCTTTTTTATTTCATTATTTTTTAAGGGGGCAACACGAAAAATTTACAGGTTGCAAATTATGCAGAGTGGTTACATATAATTTTATTTTCAAGCGATTTCTTAGAGGCTAATTATAAACCAAAGTAACACCGAAATTTTTACATATACGCACACACAATGGCAAGAAGAATTACGAAAAAAATAATTCCCAAACCAGCCAGTAGGATGAAATATGGAATTATGCAGCATTACGTGGAAGGAAACAATAATAGAGATGACTCTAAATAAAAAAAAAATAATCAAAAATAAAGGAAATCAAAAATAAATAAAATCAAGAATAAATCAAAGCAAGAAGCGGATTAAAGGAACTTCAAATAAATTGCTTCTTATCGTGTTTGCAAGCGTTTATTCTAAAAATATATCTTATCTGTAAATGTGATTACGGTTCGAATGTTTAATTATTCTATGTCAATAGAAGCAACGCAGCAGATCGTTAAAAATAATTAAGCATAAATGGTATTTTTATACTTTTCTATTGTTAGCTGGATTTTGAAAAAATAACTTTCAAGGAATTTGAATAATTCGTGTTAAAAAAGCACATTTGTTTTATCTTTGTTGTAAGCTGAATTTGCTTTTGCTATTGTGAACTTGGCCATGAAAATTTAATTGAATAAATAATATGCAGCTAGTACGTACACAACTGAATATTTCATATTTAACATCCTGAAAATTCTTCGTAAATTAATCGCTTCATCAAAGAATGTAATTTTCGTAATGATTTTTCAAGAAGCTATAGTTAACTGCTAACGAAATTTAGAATTCTCACATAATAATATTCAACAAGTTTGTTACATATCTTTAATCTAATTAATGATAATAATAATATAATCAATGATATATTAATCTTTAATCTAATTAATTTGTTAAATTAATTTCATTACTTTAACAAAATCTGTTATCTGTTACTTATCATATAAGTGGTTCTAGGAAAACGGAGGATTGATTACAAGAGAAGATTTCATGACCTATCTCAATTCACAGGGCAATAGCTTTGACGGTATGACACTCAAGAAGACAAATTTGCCACTGTGGCTGAATGTTATTGCCATCAAAATCACCTTAACAACATTATATTTGATTGTAAAATCAATTAAAAAGGTACAAGTGTTGAGTAAATGTGACTCGTAAAAATGGTAAATTTCGGTAAACTTAAAAAAGCTATGGAAAGTACAAGAGATGGTTTTAATGTATTGTGAAAATAAAGTGCTATTTATTGTTGGATAGCAACATGTATTCATAGTTATTTCTTCCAGGTGTCTGAAAGGGCAATACTGAATGCTCTAATGAGCCAGGATGATGGATTCTACAGCGGAAGAAATAGATGAAATGGAATTATTTGTGTTGTAATTTCGTTAAAGTATAGTACTTGTGTGTGAACGGAGCTCTGTTCCTGTT